TGCCAAATGTCTCTAGGTCCTGCTTGGTCCAGCAGCCTCCTCTCCCCACTCCACACTTCCATTTGTTTCTCTGTCAGGTTTTTCCGGGAGCTGAGAGAGCTGAAGACCTTTGCAAACTATTCCACATGTGACCACAGCAACCTGGCTGACTGGCTGGGCAGCATCGACCCCAGGTTCCGTCAGTACACGTACAACCTGCTCACGTGCGGCATCAACCGCAACTTCCTGCACCGGGTGACGGAGCAGCAGCTGCAGGAGGACTGTCACATCAACACCGGCTTCCACCGCGTCCGCATCCTCACTGCTGCAAGGGGTGAGGGTGCTGCTGCTGCTCAAGGGTGGGGGTGAGTGTGGAGGGTTGTTTGGGATGAGCTGTTGGGTGGGTTTAACTTTTGGGTGCTGTTTGCTCTCTCTAGAAATGCTTCACTCCCCTATAACGCTGCAAACGGCATCCAATGGCACTGATGTATTCATCAGCTACAGGAGGAGCACTGGGTCGCAGCTGGCCAGGTGAGTCCTGCAGGCAAGGACATGGTGTTGGGCTGAAGGCTGGTGGCGATCAGCTGTGGGAAAAGTGTGGAGCTGGGAAAGCCACAGGATGCAGAGGGGTGGAGGGAGAGGCTGCCAAGAGCTGAAGTGCAAATGGGGACAGCACGTGCCATGTGCTGCATGGTGGACAGGCTAATTCCCAGTCCTGTCACTGCCACCCTGTCCTTCTTTGACACTGACTTACCCTGTTCTCACGCTGTGCTCGTAGGGCTGTAGGGGATCACAGCAGGGGGTTAATGTCCAGCTCTCCTGTAAGCAGGCTGTGCTGGCAGCTGGCACCCCAAGGACCATGCTGTTCTCTGTGGGAGCCTGTTCACTGCTCCTCTGTCTCACCACATCTTGCCTGAGAGTGTGTGAAACCCAGTAGCTCTTCTCATAGTGCTGTCCCCTCTTGCCACCAGCCTGCTGAAGGTCCATCTGCAGCTGCACGGCTTCAGCGTGTTCATCGATGTGGAGAAGCTGGAGGCAGGGAAGTTTGAGGACAAACTGACCCAGAGTGTCATGAGTGCCCGCAATTTTGTGCTGGTCCTCTCACCCAATGCACTGGATAAATGCATGGGAGACTCTGAGTGCAAGGACTGGGTGCACAAGGTAGGAGATGCCATCAGATGGGAGGTTGGTGGCTGTTGGAGCAGGAAAAGGCCCATGATGGGCTGACACAGGCCATAGCCTGAGCACTTGTATGTTCCTGCAGGAGATTGTGACAGCCCTGAACTATGGAAAGAACATTGTACCTGTGACAGACCATTTTGAGTGGCCAGATCCAGAAACACTTCCCAAGGACATGAGGGCTGTCCTGAAATTTAATGGTATCAAGTAAGTAAAAGGCACCTGTATCATGGGTTTCCTTGACACCTGGAGAGAACAGCTTGCATAAGCAGTAGCAAAGAGCACAGGAAATTGGGAGAAACAGATGAGGGAGGCAGAACAGGCCAAAGGGAGCTGAGTCACTTCAGGTTCTTCACAGCATGAAGGGAGCAAAGGTCCCCACCATAGCCCTTCTCTGGTTTTGTGCTCGGGGCTCCCCTAGCTGAGAGCTCCAGGCAGGAGTGATGCTGGAAGGTTCCACAGCTCCCCGGGGCTCCTCTCACTTCCTGCTTCCCCTGGGATGACATCCCAACCTGCTCAGAGCCCTCCAGCCTGGCAGGGCACAAAGGGGCTATCCTACAGCATCCAGTGTTCCTCCATTTCCCATGAGGAAAAGGGAGGTTCCTAGAGAGCTGGGGTGGAGGAAAGGGCTCTCTGGCTCCTGGCCCAGATGAACTGAGCCATCCTGTGGCATCTCACAGGAAGGAAACATTAACTCAAGTTTTCCCCTCGATCTCAGGTGGTCCCACGAGTACCAGGAGGCCACAATCGACAAAATCATCCGCTTCCTCCAGGGACGTTCTTCCAGGGACTCCTCGGCTGGGTCGGAGAACGGCCTGGACTGCTTGTCCTCCTTGGGGCAGGCCTAGAACCAGCACAACTGCCTCAGCCCCTCCACAGACTTCCAGGCTGACCCCTTTTTATGTGGGGCCAGATCTATCCCTCTGTTTTTCCCTATCTTAGTACCCTGGCTTGAGACAAGGCCTGTGGCTCATTAGCCCCGCTTTGCCCTCCAAATGCAAGCCCTTGGCACTAAAAGACCAGTACTCACTTGGTGCCTGGTAAGCCAAGCTAAGGTGGACTCTGGGATGGAAGAATTGGCTTCCACATCCTCCCTTAGGAAGGCAGGACACACGGGCTATACCTCCTGCAGTGCTGGGGGTGCAAGGAAAACATGTCTGAAGAGAAAGAGAAACATGTCCAAAGGGGAAAGATCTTCTGAGGAACCAAAACTTGGGAATTGGTGAGGGATACATCACAAGAGGACACACAGGAGACAAGAGCAGTTGAGAGGAAATGGTCCCTAAGCATCATATGGCGTCTGCTGTCATTCCCTCTCTGGGAATATCATGGTCAGAAGCCAAAAGCAGGAAAGGGCAAATAAAAGCTAAGCCCTAACAAAATTCCTGTGTTTGGGAAAGATAACACACAGAGACCTTCTCAACTGCTCAGCAGCAGCTTTCTCTTTGCCAGTAATGTCCCTTTATCAACTGAGCTCACTCCCTCCTTGAGGGCGTTCACCTCCTAATGCTGCAAAGGCACTTCATGTTCTTAACTCTGGCAATGGAAGTTTGGGGTTATGACAAGTTGGTCTTCTCAGACAACAGTTTGATCACGTGAAGTTTCTACAGGATCTTTGCACAAAGTGCTTTTTAAACAACCCCCTTCCCTCCACCTGGTGCCTCAGCTTTACCACATTATCAGGTCTATACTTACAGGGCATAGGAGGCTGGATCTCTGGAAAACATATCCATGTGGATATGGAAGATGCCAATTGCTGTTCTGTACTTGTGGCGTTAAGCACTGGCTGTGTTTTACTCTGTTGGTGCTCCACAGCAGATCTCCCATGGTCTGTTTCTTCAAACAGGAGCTGGTTTATCTCTCTGCTGATTACCACCCACCCCTGACAGCCCTGGCTAAGCTCCTCAGGCTCAGGTTTGTCATTACTCTCTGCTGGATTCAACACCAAGTAGCATTTGTTTGTTTCTACCAATCTCTCAGCACCCACCAGGTCTTTTTGCAGTTACTCACCCTGAAACATCAGGGAAGATGCAAAAACTGATGCGAAGGGCAGGTGAAGGCTGCAAGGTGTGAACATCAGCTGGGAGGGGGACTAACACTCAGATGAGGAACTAGGGGCACCCTCACACACCTCCCCAAGTTCTGGCCTCCCAGCTATACCCTGCTTCTCCTGCTTGCTTTGGAGGGTGAGAGGCTCTCGACAACATGGGACCAGAAATTGCAGCTCCTACCCGAGTATGTCTTTTCTGATGCAAAGGGAATAATGCAAAAAGACATCCTTGCACAGGAGGAAGATGAAGCCATAGCCAGGGAACACCAGCCTGCCCTGATGCTCCAGAGACCAGGCTGATTTACCACCCTGAGAAGCAGCAAGGTTTTCTGACTATCCCTGCTCAAGGTAACTCTACTCTTTCAGGATGTAATGAGGAGTCTGAGCCACCTTGTCCTTCTCCTGGCTCTCCCTGAAGCCTTGCTGCCTGCCTTAACCGCCAGGAACACAAACCCATTTCCTTTTGGCTTAGATCCATGGACATTAGAGGGACAAAAAAAAAAAAAGAAGTTAAATTCTGGTGCTTAATCACAGCTTTATGGATAGTTCTTATCAGCTCACAGTTAATGGCATCTTCGCTCTCCAATGAAAGGTTAATAGCTGTTTCTGCCCAGCATTCATCACAAATAGAATCTATCTAATCTCCAGATTAAACACAAGGAAGCCAACAGATGAGCTGAAAGGTGAATCTGCCAAAGGATTAAAGCCCCTTGTGAGCTGCTTCAGAGAAAGCTGTGAGTAGTGATTGATTGTCAAGGCCTCCATGGATACTGAAAGAGTCCCACACAAAGTCTTCCCCACAATAATACACAGTAAGATCATTGTGTCTTGTTTCCCAGGAGCTCTCTAGCCATTCTCCTCACCCACCATTCAAGATACAGATTTACTTGTTCTCTACAGCTTGGGTGCCACCTGCAGTGAGATCCCATCTCATGCTCCAGCTGCCCAGACTGACTCTTCCTGTTTCCCCATCATTCTCCGTAAGGAACTTGCTGTGCTCTTGACAAAACATCCCATACCCAGCCCCTTCCAGCTGGAGCAGTCTCAAGGAAGCAAATTCTTCTGTTCCCATCTTTCCGTATTCCTTTGCTGTGTCATGTCAGAAAGTGTTTAGAGTTGTTCTATCAAACATTATTAATAAACCTGGTTTATACTCAAAATGCCCACCTCTGTTTGTGTCACATGCTTCTCTCTCTTGCTGTCATGCTTTCTCATCCTCTGATGGGGCAGCAGAATTGACATTCTCAAGGCATCACTCTCTGTGGGGACTCATGCTCCACACTCATCTCTGCATGGGATGCTGTAGCTCACTGCATTCCCGGGGGCTCTCTACCTGCTGCCCGGAGTCACGTATTTGCTTCATGGTTGGAGTTCTTGGAGGAGAGCCTAGAAAAACTTTGGGGTAATTTTTGTAATAGAATACAATAGTTCCTATTGAATTTCTCCTTTGCAAGCACCCTGACACAAACAGGAAAGCAGAGCCAGTGCAGGAGTTCCATTTCACTGCACAACACTGAGCAGTTGCTAGCACTGGTGGCCATGGTAGAGAAGACTTAACTTCACAATCAGTTCAGCTACAAACCACTAATGCAGCACTCACAGCATGCCCTGTTCCTCAGGGAGGCTGATTCTGGGCTTAGGCCGTTAATCAGACACATAACTCCTGCCTATGTCCACAGCCATAACTGCACAGAGCAAGTGGCATAACACCAAGTTCTTACAATGTCCTTACTTCTCCACCTCCTGCTTCTCTGCTCCCCAGTTCTCCTGCTTTTACCACAAGGGAACAAAGCTGTTTGTGAGGATTTCATATTCACTGTGTATTGAAGGACAGGTCACAGACCAAGCACTCCCACTTGCTTTACTCCAGTGCTCAGGAAAAGCAAGCTTTGGCTGCTTGCAACTCCCAAAGGTTTGGGAGCCATTTTTCCTGGCTCTGGACTCTCACATGCTCACTCTCCACATGGCAGGTAACTTCCTGCTGCTGCTTCTTTACTGCAGAGGCTTCAATAAATGAAGCAGAAGGAAAATAATGGAGACAAGCAGAGAGTGAGGCAAGGACAAATGGCGTGAAGAGGTCTAGGAGAAAAACTATCTTTTTATGAACCATAAAAGACAATGGAGGGTTTATTCCTTCTAAAAGTAACATGTCTGCTAAGCAACTGCACAGTAAAGACATGATTGCATGCATCTGAACCATGTGTGCAATGCAGTGTACACAGAATTGCTGGTTTATGGCAGCTGGAAGAGAACAGGATTGAGGCAATACAGTTATTGCTTTGAAAAGAACAATTACAAACATGGGGTTTACTTGCTGGCATCAACATGTCCTGAGAAGGGCAGCAGAATGGAGATCAATGACCTAAAATTACGCCCAGACAACAAAAACAAATTACCACCAAAGACACTAATCCTGTCCCCACACCAGCTCATCCCTCTGTAGTTCTCAGAGGGGAACATTTGGCAATTAAAACAGAATTCAGTCCTCTCTCACCACTAAAAGCATGAACCTTTCCTCCTCACCAAACCCCAAACCACTAACCAGCCTTGCAAATGGCCAGCAACAGCTTTTACTCTTGATTGGCTTTTGGGTCTCTTGGGTTTTCTTTGCCACATGAGCCAACACAACAGTGAGGAGGCATTGACATCTGCAGGTCAAGTTCTTACTGGCAGCCTGAGCCACGATTTCCTACTACCTGGCATTTAAGGATTAGTAATCACAAGCAGGGTGTCCCTCCCACACTGATCGGTCCTTTGAGTCAAGTATAAAGAGCAGTCTTCAGATGGGCACTGCTGAGCTGGCCAGTTCCTCATTGCTAAGTTGCTTCTCAGCCATCTGCAGGGGACAGGGAAGCATCTGAGAAGTGATTGTAGTCGCGGTTTGAGTCCCAGATTTCTATCCACCTAAGAAAGAAAGAACAGTTAGAGCCTATGGAGGCACACTGGGATGTTGCTGAATGAACTCGGTTTTAAAGTTTCAAAGGAACAGAACAAAATGACCCTGCCAGGAGCTGCTGCACTTCTACTGCAAACTCCAACACATTGTCTGTCCCAGGACTTACCAGGGGATTTGTTTTCTATCACGACACAACTTTTGCTTTAATTATTAAAGAAACCCCAGGAGAAGAGACCACTAAGAGAGCTCCATCTCTCCCATAAAGAAGGACTTTCAAGTTCAAGACTTTGAAGTGCTTTTAACATCAGCAGCTATGTTACTCAGGCTGTAGGTTTATCACTAGGATTCAAATGCCAGAAGAAATGGACCTGCACCTCTGCTTAGCTGGGGCACTAAACACCCTCTCACAAGCATAATTTACACCTTAAAAGCTGTGAGCCTCTATGCAAAGTAAATAGTAATTTTCATACTACACTTCACAGGTCCTAAGGCAAAGCTTAGAAGTTTGAAGTAAATTACCCAATAATAGCTGCTGGAATAAGGAGGATTATAGCCCCAAAGAGAAACGGGAATCCCCTCATGAAGTGCAAGGTGGCAGGATAGAGAGAGTTGAACACTCCTGTAGCCACAAGTGAACACAGCGCTTCCACACAGGCAACAGAAGCAAAGAGAGCACCTGGAAAAGACATTTAAGAGGTTAATGGTGAAAGAGCCCTGCCTCCAAATGCCTTTAACAAATCACCTTTAGTTGGGATTCTGTAAATCTTCCTGAGGGTTTGCACCTCCCAGCAGAGAACTGGTAAATGGTTATCGTGTGTGGCAAGGAAGAGCTGGGAGCAGAGAGCAAGCGTGCTGCCCCAGCCTGGCAAGTTCAAACTTGTCATGTTCAGCTTCTCTGACTT